GTATTTTCTTTCTTTCCTGTCTTTTAAATGATATTTTGTCTTCTTCCCGTATGATATCCTACAACTCTTCTGGTCTGGGGTCATTATGTCTAATGCATCAAATCTGTTCTTGACATGGTCTCTAAATTCAGGTGCGATATGTTCAAGGTCATATTTTCACTCTTGTGACTTTAGTTTCTTCAACTTGCATATGTGCAATTAATGGTCTATTTCACAATTGACCCCTGGCCTTGTTTTGGCTGATGATGTTTTCCCACTTTCTCTTCTTGCAGATGTTGTCAATTTGATTCCTGTAGACTCTGGCTGGTGAGGTTCATGTGTATAGTTGACTTTTATGTTGTTTAAAAAAGTTTTTTGCAATGAATACATCATTGATCTTGCAAAATTCTATCATGTGATCTTGAGCATCATGTCTTTCACAAAGGCCTATTTTCCAACTACTGGTGCTTCCTCTTTGTTTCCAATCACCAGTAATTATCAATACATCTGGATTGTATGTTGGATCAGTTTCAGACTGAACAAGTTGATTGTTGTTATGTGCCATTGAGTTGGTTCTGACTCAAAGTGACCCTGTCTAGGGTTTCAGAGGAGCAGCTGGTGGGTTTGAATTGCTGACCTTGTGGTTCAATCTGACCTTGTGGCCTAGCACATTATCCACTAAGACTCTGGAACAAGTTAGTAGAATTCTTCAATTTCTTTAGCACTGGCTTTGGTGGTTGGTGCATAAATTTGAATAATAGTGATATTAACTGATCTTCCTTGTAGGTGTATGGATATGATCCTATCACAGTGTTGTATTTCAAGATACATCTGGAAATGCTTTTTTGATGATGAATGTTATGCCATCCCTCTTGAATTTGTCATTCCTGGCATAGTAAACAATGATTGTCAGATTCAAAATGGCCAATACCAGTCCATTTCAGCTCATTAATGCCTAGGATATCAATCTCCATGCGTTCCATTTCATTTTTGACAACTTCCAATTTTCCTGGATTCATACTTTGTACATTCCTATTCTGATTATTATTGAGTTGTACCCCAACATCGAATGAAGGTCCCCAAAACTCTACTCCCTTCACACCATCATGGTGTACTCTACTTTAAGGAGGCAGCTCTTCCCCAGTCATATTTTGAGTGCCTTCCAACCTAAAGAGCTCAATTCCTGGCGTGATCTCTGAGAATATTCTGAAGCTTTTCATAATGTTTTCATCTTTGGGCAGATGGCTGACAATATTCTGATGCTATTCATAAGGTTTTCAGCGGCTTACCATTCAGTAGTCCACCTTTCCTTCTTCCTAGTCTGTCTTAGTTTGGAAGCTCAACTGAAACCTGTCAACTATTGGTAACTCTGCTGGTGTTTCAAATACCAGTGGTATAACTTCCAGGATCATAGCAACACACAGGCCACCACAGTATGACAAACTGACAGATGAGTGGCCAATAGAAAGGATAGGCATAGTAAGTAATCTGAGACAAGAATGAAAAGGGAAGGGGGTGAGGGGAAATCTTCCCAGTGCTTTGCCCAGGCCAAACCCTGCCAGGCCCTGGAAATGATAAACACCTATGAGCTGCTTATGGAACTTGATATTTTACAAAGCACTTTCATGTCTAGGCTAACATTTCATCCTTTCACTGTAGGATCAGCACTGGACTGTGAACCACAAGGTCAGCAGTTCAAACCCACCAGTGCTTCCTATACAAGTCTTATATGGAAACCCTATAAAGGGTCGCTATGAATCGAAACCAACTTGACAGCATTTAATAACAACAACAACAGTTTTACCAAAGAAGACACTCTTAACAAGGTGAAGTGTAAAACCCCAAATTGTAACAGGTATAATAGTGATCAAGTCCTGGATTCCAGATGCTATTGGGCATGGAATTTGCCTCATGAGCCATTGACTTATACCTAAAACCAAACCTACTGCTATCGAGTGGATGCCGACTCCAAGTCACCCTATAGGACAGAGCAAAACTGCTCCGTCGGGTTTCCAGACTGTATGTCTTCATGGAAGCAAATTGCCTCCTGTTTTGCCTGCAGAATTAGGTTTGAACTGACAATCTTTTGGTTAGCAACCAAGTGCTTTAAACACTACACCACAGTGAGGCTGGAATCTGGCTGACAGCTTGACAAAGGACAAGATGAGAGGAAGGATAAGTTGGCTGTCTTGGCAGATTTGAAACTAAAACAGCAAAGGGCAGTTTAGATGGAAGTCTTAGACAGCAGTAGGGTTGGTTTTAAGAAGGAAGATGTGAATTAGAGAGAAAGATGGTCCTCCCCAGTAGAAACAGATCTATCTCAGTAGAGCATTGTCCCACTGCCCACCTTTTAGTTTGTTGTACTGTGGTGACTTGTGTGTTACTGTGAGGATGGATATTTTAAATACCAGCAGGGTCACCCATGGTAGACAGGTTTCAGTGGAGTTCCCAGGCTAAGAGTAGGAAGAAATGCCTGGCAATCTAAATAGGAAATTTAGCCAATGGAAACCTTATGTATCACAACAGAGTATCATCTGGCTTGCTTTCTCTGAGCATGCCTTGAGGCAGGATCAATCTCTGGATGAGGAGATTGGGTTTTGTGAGGTAACTTGTCAATGAGGGGATACCCTTGGTGAGATGGATTGGCATCGTAGCCACAACAGTGGATTCAAACATGCTGGAAATCATGACAGTGATTCAAGACCAGACAATATTTCATTCTTTTGTACATGAGGTCCTCATGAGTCAAAGTTTACTGAGTGGCATCTATCTATCTATCTATCTATCTATCTATCTATCTATCTATCTGTCTGTCTGTCTGTCTGTCTGTCTGTCTGTCTGTCTGTCTGTCTGTCTGTCTGTCTTTCTGTCTGCCTGCCTGCCTGCCTGCCTGCCTGTCTACCTATCTACCTATCTACCTACCTACCTACCTACCTACCTACCTACCTACCTACCTACTTTTCTGGAGCACTGTTGCCCTGGGTGTGAGAGCAGCCTGCAGGATGTGAGAGCAGATGAAATAATAAATTGATAATTATCTCCTTGTAGTTTTTTCTGTCCCTTGGAGCCTCTATCCTGGTTTGCAGGAAGGAGCTCTAGGCACCAGAGCAACTAGACAGTACTTTGTCCCTGGACACCCCATTCTGGTTCCAGGGACAGCTGCTCAAGGTGAGGCCTCCCTTCTCTTGGGGATCCATCAAGATTAGACTTAAAAAGCAAGGATATGCATTTCAGAGATATTCCTGAAACTCTGGTCTTCCTGCAGAATCAATCATTGAGCGACTATTGATGCTGAAAACCAGTGACACTCTTTGAACTGTCACACACAATCTGTGGTACATACTATGTCTTTTCTCCAAGGTCCTGGGCAACAGAGCCTCAGCACTGCAGATACAGGCAGAGGGTCACACAAATCTGTTGCCTAAGCAGATGACCTGGATCTTTGGGCACTCTGGTGACAGGATATCTGTGAGCTTTTTCCTTTCTTCCTGTGCCTGAATTCTGTCATAAGTAAATGAGAGTATGTGTGTCTTTGTATATGTATCTAAAAAAGAAGAGGAACCAGATGGATATTCCTTGTGAATGGAAGCTCACTGTCTCCTGAGACCGTTTTCTACTGCTGTGTGAAATGCCTTCTTCCTGTTGCATTGATAATTGTCTCTTGTAGCTTCCTCTATTCTTTGGAGTTGACCACACAGAACAAAAAAACCTTTCTTCCTCATAACAAAAGCAGACTTGATGGCACAGTGGTTAAGCACTCAGCTGCTAGCCAAAAAGTCAGTGATTCAACCCCCCAGCAACTCCATGAGAGAAAGATGTAACATTTTGTTTTTATAAAGATTGTTATTGTTAAGTGCTATTGAGTCGATTCCAACCCATAGCAACCCTGTATAGGATTTCCAAGGAGAAGCTGGTGAACTTGAACCACCAACCTTGCAGTTCAAACGACTTTGCAGTCTGACGCATTAGCCCATAGCACCACACCAGGACTCCCTTACAGCCTCTTAAACCATATGGGCAGTTCTACTCTGTCCCATGGGGTCACTGAGTCAGAATCAACTCCACAGCAATGAGTCCCCATTAATATTCTTTCAAATAGCTGGATTCACATATCCCTAGTTCATTCCGTCTCCCTATCCTAGACCTTCTCCTCTGCAGGTGCTTCAATCTATCTAATTCCTCTCTGAAACCACATCACTTGCAGGTGTGGCTGAGCTAAGGGGCAGGGCCTTCAGCTCCCAGGTGTGAGACTTTGCCTTGTCCAGTGCAGCCCAGCATTTGCCAGAGCAGCTCCAGCAACCACAGGGAGCATGGAGCTAGAGACCAATGGTTTCCTCAACGCTGGGGTTGGAGGAGCTGTGAGGAGCTACTCAGAGGGAGAGAGGCAGCAAGAGGATGTACAGAATTCAACCACCCCACTTTACTAGAGCAGAGCTGCGTTAGTGTTTTGACAAATGAAGCTCCCCCACAAGCCTTGGTTTTGAAGCAAGGGCACCACAGCTGACAAAAAAAAAGCTTGAAAACTGATGGTTCTGTCTCTTTGTCACATGGTGGTATCCTAAGATGCATTTCCCCTATTCCATACATATGCAAAGCCCTCACCAGCGCCAAAGGTAAAGGACCTTTCCCCATTACTGTGAGACCCACGGTCCTCCCTTACTAATGCCCAGATGAAGGTCGGAGCAGGCTCTAACTGCTTTTAGGAACATTTGAAACTCCAGTTCTGCTCTGCTCCCATGAACACGGGGGGTGGGGGTGGGGGGGTGCAGAAGCAGGCTGACACAGGGGAGGTGGGAAATGTCTGTACCAACAGTTTAAGTGGCAGGGTGGGCCAGGCCAGGACTGCACAGGAGCTGGGCGTCAGGAAGGGGAATGTGACCATCGCACAGATTATGAGTATTCAGGGCTTTGTGTGGTCAGGATAGAGCGCACCGCAAAGAAATAGATAGGGAGGTGGAGCCGGTTCCAGCCCCCGGAAATGGTCACTTCCAGCTGCCCCAGGGCTGGGTGGGGACACTCACAGGGCAGCGTCTCGGCGCTGTTCTTCTGGATCATTATGCAGAGCTGTAGCACCAGTTGGGGGGCGCTCTCCAGGAAGGTCTCCAGGAGGCGCAACATGTTGACGTCTGCATATTCGTACATCATAGCCCAGTAAAAGCGTCGCTGGTGTTCCTTCTGCCGCTGGCTCTGAATCCCCAGGTACATGGTGCGGATATACCTGCCAAAAGAGGAACAAAACTGAGAACTTGAGTGGGGGTGGGGACAGCAGAAGGTTTTCCTAAGATTTAGCGCCACCTTGTGCCAGCATCTCTCCGCTCTGAAGTTTCCTGGTCTTCAGTAGGGCTCTAGGGGGTCTCCAGACCAGAGGTCACAGGGATGAGGGCGGAGCAAGTCAGGAAAGGAGTGCCTGACGCCGTTAAGAACTCAAACAAGACTTTCTGGGCCCCATATCTGGACTTCAAAATCTTCCATGTATTCTTCCTTTAATCCATACCTCACAGTTGAACTCAGAGGGTGAGTGGGCTTTCTCAGGAGCAGGCTACCTGGGGGAAGATTCTAATAAGACTTTCACTTCTTTCGCATAGCCTTACTGCTTTCTCAAGGAGCCTTGGTTGCTTAGTGGTTACTAACTGGGCTGCTAACGGTAGGATCAGCAGTTCGAATCTACCAGCTGTCCCTTGGGAGAAAGATGAGGCTTTGTGCTTCCACAAAGATTTATAGTCTTGGAAACTCTATACAGGGTAACTATGAGTTGGAATCAACTCGGTGGCACACAACCACCACTACCACTACTTTTTCAGTTGTTGTGTTGCTAAGTGCCGTTCAGTCGGTTCTGACCCATAGCGACCCTAGATAGGATTTCCGAGGAGCAGCTGGTGAGCTCGAACCAATGGCCTTGCTGTTCATTTTGCAGTCCAGCACATTAACCCACAGGGCCACACCAGGACTGTTGTTGTTGTTAAGTTCCATCGAGTCGGTTCCGACCCATAGCGACCCTGTACAGGGTTTCCGAGGGTGTAAATCTTTACGGGAGTAGAAAGCCTCATCTTTCTCCCGCGGAGCGGCTGGTAGTTTCGAACCGCTGACCTTAAGGTTCGCAGCCCGATTCGTAACCACTACGCTACCAGAGCTAGGACTAGGAGGGAGAAAAAAAGGGAGTGAACTTTCAGCATACTCACTCTACCGCTCCAAGAAGCTGGACTATATCAAGAAGAACTGGTGTCAGGATTGGATGAAGACTCATTAATAACCTGCATTATGCAGATGACACAACCTTACCTACTGAAAGTGAAGAGGACTTGAGGCATTTGTTGATGAAGTTCAGAGAATATAGCCTTCATTTGGTATGGATTACAACTCAATACAAAGAAAACAAAAATTCTCTCAGTGGTCAACAGACATCATCATGATAAATGGAGAAAAGATTGAAGTTGTCAAGGTTTTAATTTTACTTGGATCCGCAATCAATGCTCATGGAAGCAGCAGTTAAGAAATCAAATGACATATTGCACTGGGCAAATCTGCGGCAAACAACCTCTTTAGAGTATTAAAGAGCAAAGATTTCACTTTGGTGCACCTGATCCAAGCCATGATATTTACAATTACTCATACGTATGTGAAAGCTGAACAATGAATAAGGAAGAATTGATGCATTTAAATTGTGGAATTGGTGAGGATTATAGAGAGTCCATGGACTTCCAGAAGAACAAACAAATCTGTCTTAGAAGAAGTACAGCCAGAATTTTCTGTTACTTGGCAACAATGATGACAAGATTTGATCTCACATACTTTGGGTATGTTATCAGAAGGGATCAGTCCCTGAAAGAGGACATCATGCTTGGTAAAGAAAAGGGTCAGCAAATCATAGAAAGACCTCCAACAAAATGGACTGATAGTGGCTGCAACAATGAGCTAAAATACAACAACAGTGTGAGCATTGGACAGTATGTTGTGCATAGTGTTGCTGTGAGTCAGAACCTACTCAATGGCACCTAATAACACAACAGTCTTCATAGATTGCACATCAGTTTGTGGGTTTGAACTACCAACATTTCAGTTAGCATTCAAGTGCTTAATCACTGTGCCTCCAGACCTCCTGTGCATTGCACTACATGAGGGAAACACAGATTCTGCAGTACAGCCTCTGTCCAGGCCTGACCCAGGATCACAGTCACACAAATCCAGTGGGCCTGTGTTCTCAGGTCCATCACGGGAGGAACAAGAAGTCAAGGAATGGTACAAGGGCAGACCACGGACTTGAATGGTCAGCCAACCTGGGGTTCCCAGACTTGGACAAATTATTCCAACTCTGTGTCCTTGGATTACTCTTCTTTAATATAGGGGACTAATGCCATCATTGGGTAGGAAGAGTTGTGAGGTAATATGGACATAGTGTCTGATACACAGTAGATGCTTATCCCAGATCCATACAAGAAGCACACACCTCCTACCCCACCCCCCCCAAGTGCTGATTTTCACCTGAGCTTCCTGATTCTGAGTCTTTAATCCACATGCCATCTACACTGAGCGTGGTCTCTACAGCAGGCCCAGAGGTCACAGGTGCTGACAGGTTCTGGTCAAAGTTAGGTTCCAGAAGCATGTTTTTGAGGGCCTAGTTTGAATCAAGGACAGAAGCCATAAACAGTCTGTTGGAGACCTCAGACATGAGCATCCCTGACTATCCCTTGGGGATATCAGCATTTTACGGTGCCTTCTGAGATGCCAATCATAAAGGGAGAGAGCATAATGGGCACCCGACCTTGTCCTCAAATTCTATCAAGTGCCCATCTAGGCTGGGCAGGCCACTCTCTCTGACCCCATCCCCACCATCAGCCTGGTCCTAGCTACCATCACGTTTTCCTGGGTCAATGCAGGAGCCTCCAAAACTGGCTTCCCTTCTGCCACTCTTACCTCAGATCCTCTTCTTCACACAACAGCCAAAGTGGTCTTCTAAATTCCTACACACAGTCACGTCATCCTCCTCTTTTCTACCCTCCAGTGGCTGCCCACAGTGCTTCAAATAAAATCCAGTCTCCTGACTGTGACTCACAAGACTGGTCTGCCTCTCCAGCCTCACTTCCTAGTCTATCCCTGCTCTCTTCTCAGAGCCTTGCCTAGCTCTCGCTGGAGCTCTGTGAGCTTAGGGACCCCATCTTTCTTGCTTATTGCCACAGTGTCAGAGACTCTCACAGGATCAGGCACAGTGCAAGGACTCAGAAAACATTTGTCAAATGAGTGGATAGATTCAGGGATGGCTGAAGTTAGAAGGAAGATCCCTCCCCACTAGGACTGAAGAGGCATGGCAGGACAGCACGGTCCCAGACACATCAAAGATAGACATGCTCACAGCAAATCCCTGGGAAAATGCACCAGGAGGTGGATCACTTAGTGGGAGTCTATTTTCCTCTGGGAACAGTGGGACAATTGGGGCAATGCTTAAAGAACTTTGCTTTGGCATTATGGAAGTATTATGTTTTAGGATCAAAAATACAAGAAATATTAGGGTATAGTGAATTACTTATTATGACCCTTTAGCCATGCATAGTCTTGTGACTCCTACAAAATGACTGAGTTGTTGTTGTTAAGTGTCATTGAGTCAGTTCTGACTCATAGTGGCCCTGTATAGGGTTTCTGAGGAGTGGCTAGTGAGCTTGAACTGCCGACCTTGCGGTTTATCCAGCGCATTAATCCACAGCACCACACCAGGACTCCTAAATGATTAAGTGGGGGCGCGGGGGGTGGTTATGTGCCGTGGTGTCAGTTCTGATTCATAGCGACCCTGTAGAGGTTTCTGAGGCTATAATCTTTACAGGTGCAGAAAGCCTCATCTTTCTCCTGTGGAACAGCTGGTATTTTCAAACGGCTGACCTTAAGGTTAGCAGCCTGACTCATTATTACTACGCTACCAGAGCTCCTTAAATGATTGAGTTGTTGTTGTTGCTGTTAAGTGTTGTCGAGTCAATTCCCACCTGTATAGGGTTTCCAAGGAGCAGCTGGTGAGCTTGAACCACTGACTTTGCAGTTCAAATGGCTTTGCAGTCTGGAGCATTAACCCACAGTACCACACCAGGACTCCAAATGATTGACTGGGACTATGCAAATAAGGTGCTGGTGGACAACTTGCTAATAATGTACATAAGATGCATAGAACCTTTGCATGGGTTGTTGTTATGTTAAGTTGTTGTTGGTAAGTGCCTTGAATTGGTTCTGACTTACAGAGACCCTGTATAGGGTTTCCTAGGAGCGGCTGGTAAGTTTGAACCATCAACGTTGCAGTTCAAACCAACCTTGTGATCCAGTACAGGGGTTGTTGTTGTTGTTGCTATGTGCCATGGAGTTGGTTCCGACTCATAGTGACCCTGTACATGGTTTCCAAGGCTATAAATCTTTATGGGAGCAGAAAGCCTCATCTTTCCCCCGCGGAACTACTGGTAGTTTTGAAATGCTGACCTTGCGGTTCACAGCCCGATTCATAACCATTAAGCTACCAGAGGATCATGGAAATAAGGTACATAAAACCCTCAGGAGACGATTGGTCAGTTTTGCCATCCCACTAGACTTAAAGGGAGCCAATCCCAGAAGTGGGTGGATACCTTGTTACCATCAAGAAAGAAGAGCCAGGAGTGAAGTGCATCCCTTGGACCCAGGGTCCTTGCACTGAGAACCTCCTAGACTCAGGAGACAAAGAGGGAGCTGTTATACCAGGCACAGTGTGAGATACGAGAAGAAGCAGAACTAAGAGACTGGCACAAGATGGCATGGTGGGTTTCCCAGCCCAGAAGCACAGCAGTTACAATGGGTGTGCCAACTCACAGAATGAGAGAGCTGAGCATCTTTGGGCTTGCTGGCTGAGTGGGGTTCCTCTGGATACTTAACGGGAAACTAAAGAGCTTTGTAACACGTCTAAGCAGGGCAGAGGCCAGACTGAGGGCCAAGAGAGACCTGCCTGTGAGAACAACTGAAAAGAAGCTGTCCTGATTAAAGAACTGTATCCTGAGTCATACCCAATCCTAAATTGTTGCCTGTTATTTTCCTAATAAGTCCCATAGCTGTGAGTATGATCTTTGAGTTCTGTGTTATTACAAAGAATTATCGAACATAGCAGAGAAGTAGAGTGTTGTGAAAGGGGGAGCTGGTATCATAATTGACACACACACACAAAAAAGTGAGGAAAGAGATGGTATGTCTGACCTCCTCCTCACAGAAATCAGCTTTGGG